CATACTTGACCAGTAAAAGGGGCAAGGTAGCCTTTATAGCGGTGGTGAATAGTGGAGAGATGTTGTAGTCGGTGGCAAGGGACTTGAAGGGCTCTAGGGCAGAGGCGTTGCTTGGCGGCCTAGCAGCATCGGAAAACAGAAATTTGAAGATCCCTAATCAATCAACGCAAAAAACCCTAAACAGGGAAGACAGGTAAAGGGAAAAACGGAATGGAATCCAAACAGGAATACTCACAATCGATTTTAGATGGGTGAACCAAGCGAAACTGACCGATTAAACGGAGAAAAATTCCAATGAGATGGAACAGCAGCGGGCAGGAAACGGAGGAAGGATGGAAGATTTGGAGCTTGTCAAATTCGTAGCAGAATAAACAGAAAACAAAAAAAGGGAGTAGATTGTGAATAGTAAAGAATAGAGAACCTAGACCCAAGGAAGCTGTATAAAAATCAAAGCCCACACCAACAGAGAATCGAGAATTACTACTACTATAATACTCTACACTATTACTCCCTCCTCCTCCTTAGAAGATAGCAGATGCGATAAAAAGGAAAAATTGAAAACCAAGCAAAAAGGAAATAAATACTAAATCGTTTGTTTAAAGAATCTCCACCGCTTAAATCAACAACATCACCAAAAAAAAAGGCAAAAACAGAAGAGAAAATTAAAACTATAAAAACAATCGGAAAAAAAAAAAAAGTTCTCAAGTGTTTTCGTTAAAAAAGGAAAACTAATGCTGCAACTAGTTTTATAATACTAGCAGCTGTACTAGGAAGATAAATTCAGAAGAATCGCGTTTCAACTTGCAAGTATAATAAAAAGTTGAACCCACCCCACGATTCCAAGTCAAAAAAAAAAAAAAAAAAAAGCTAGTCTCCTGCTCTGGTGATGGAGTAATGGTAAATTGACAAGTTCCCAAAAACCATCCTCCACGCGCTCACGCTCCCTCTGCCCACTATGAATTCAAGTCGTCCTCCTTTACAGATTTCACAAATCCTTTCCCACATTTATTATTTTCTGCACCAACATTCGTCAATTTTGAAGTACAGAAATGCAGAAATAAAAGTGTGATTTATGATGACAAAAAGGGGCATTTGATCCCTCTTTCATTTATCCGTTTCTTACGATTAAAGGACCTTCTCGTATTTGCGAGTGCCCAGAAAATCGGGAATTTTTAAAAGAATCTCTTGCGCTTGCTCTTTTTGTCTTTTGTCCTCTTTTTCCTTTTTCTTTCCCTCATAGTCATGGCCCCCTTTTGAAAAAAAAAAAACTTTGAATGATGTTTTCATGGTGTATAACTCCAAGAATCTATTCTTATGCAACATCGTCAAGTGCGACGACGTCGTTGCGCTGACTACCTAGCACCTAGTCGTTTAAAATCTTCCATTTCCCTTTTTTCGGTCGTCACTTTGTCATCTTTCTTGGAGCAATTCAAGTGGGGGCATCTTTTCTTCTACGGCAGAGAAAGACACCGCGGGTGCCTCCGTCTAATTCCTGGAAACGTATCTCCAACTACACCTTTTACGCTTTGCCCCCTCATTCTTTTAAGGGGATAATTTCAGAAACTTCCCCTGAGGTTTCTGATAATTTCACTAAGCTCCCTTGAGATTATTATATTTACCTCTATTGATGATAGACAATGACTATAATAATCTTTATAATTTTCAAAAGATAAGCCATTGATAAAAAAAGGAAAAAGATAACAAAAATAAGAAAAAGGAAAAAAGGAAAACAATTTTTTTAAAAAAGGCTATTAAATTTTAACCTTTTGTCACTCAAATATGCTAATCAAACACGCGCTTCTGTAGCATAGTGGTAGTGCGTTCACTTCGTAAGCGAAAGGTCGCGAGTTCGATCCTTGCCGGGAGCTGTCCTTCCATTCTATTTTAAATCCTATCGTTTCTGGAAAAAAAAAATGCTAATCCAGGTAAATATCTCATTTCTTCTATCACTCGAATATGTCAAATTTATTTTCAATAAAATTGTATCAATTCAAAAAAAAAAAAGTGGGCTGATTTAATATGACCAACCCAAATGTTGAGAACATTTTATGACTTTTCAAAAAGGTAAGGATTGTGAGTTTTATGACTAAAGATTTGTTAGGCACTATATGGAAGAAAACTTAGAGAGGTAAATATTGTGAAGGTAAGAATTATGACGATGAATTTTGATATCTAAGACAAAGAGTTTATTCGGAAGAAGAAAAAGTGATAAGAATTTGAAAGTTTGGGTGAATGTAGAAAATCATGAGAATGAAAAATATCAAAACATTGGCTAAGTAATAAAACTCATAATTTTAATAATATACAAGTGTATTCTTGACTTTTAAAAAATTTTAATGATTATTCATATTAAGGAAATTTAGATGAGGGCAATTTTGGGCATTCATATACTTTTTTGGTCTTACATCATTAAGGTGAAATCCAAACTTATGTTTTAGGGGAGATATGTGTAATTTTTAAAACATGAGCGGAGCTGTTTGAAATTACAAGAAACCTCAAGAGAGGTTTCTGAAATTATACCTTCTTTTAATTGCATCAGAATTAACTCCTTTAACCTTTCAATCCGTCGCAGATGACCATTTCGTACCTATCATAATTTCCATGGAACAATTGTCAACCTTTCTATGCCCATTTTCACCTTCCCCCTAGGGCAATCAAGGCCTCACCTTCCATTAGAACACCCCACAGCCCCCATTTTTAAAATAGAAGATGCTCCAAAATATAAAACTGACAGCCACCAATTGGTGCCGACTCAAATAACTTTGTTTTTTCGGTCCGATCATTAGTATCTACACTACCCCGAAATTAGTTTGTATCAACTAGGACTGCGCTGTCGAATCTGAGTTAAACTCGAATAGTACCTGCTCAAATTCTATTGGAATAAAAATACTTGGTCTTGAATTTGATTTCGTCAAATTATTCAAAGTTCAACTCGAGTACAAGGTCAAACTTATTTTGTCTTACTCTAGTTCCATCAAATTTAATTCAATCGAGTTTTCAAGCTTGATTTTTTAATAAATTTTATAAATTTATAGTAAATAATTAAAATATATATTATAAATACGCTACGCCAAATACTCGAGTTTTGGCTTTTTATACTCAAACTCGACTAGATTGCATTATCAATAGGTCAAACTCGATTCAACTCTGGTGTTAATCGAATGCAAATTCACCTTTTGACCGAATTACTTGCGAATATGAGTTAGATAGTTTTGATTAATTTACACTCCTAGTACCAAGAGAATCTAACTAGACTGAGAGGGATTAAAGGGAAAGAACTCCCCCTCGGACAAAACAGATGCACTGCTACACAAAGTGTTTTAAGTTTTAACGCAAGGATTCCAGAGGACATTTTTATGCATTGCCTCGTGGCCAACTCTCTTAGAGCGAGTTGGTCATCATCTCAGATTACTTCGCTGCCCGCTTTTCTCATACTCGAACCTCGTCCTCTCCTTATAGCAAGCCTGCTGATCCATCGTCCAAAGCCACCTTTCTGCGCACCTTATCTTTTCTTTTCTGCCCATAATTCCAATTGGCTAATGTTATAGGGTCGACAATTTAGATCCTTTTATTTTGTTGTATTTGCATTTGTTTTTTTTTTTTTCTTTGTATAGTAATTTTTCACTTAGCCTTTCAATATCTTAAATTCGAAATATCTCAATCTCTCAATAAAAGACGTGAAAGGCGTGTTAATTCTTGACATACTATTGAAGGCGTGTTAAAACGGAGCTGCCCGTGTTAAAATGGAGAATAGGCATTATTATGCGTCTTTTGAGTATAAATATTACAAATATTTTTGGACAAAAAATGTGAAAATATGTGTAATTATTGGATTGTTTTATTACACGCTAAAATTATATATGCAAATGATTACTACTTGTAAATAATTGAATCAATATAAGAAAGTGGTTGACGGATTTTTATGGTGGACACAGTGGCAAAGATTAGCAAGTAAATTGCTATTGTAGTTTATAAAATTTTATTGTAAACATAAGGTAATTTTTAATACATAGCATTACTAAAGAAATGATTTTTCAGGAAGTTTTATATACGAGTTATTGAAGAATTCATGCGTGTAGCTTATTTGCAATAAGAAATTGGTTATGTTTTGCGCAATTTAGTTGAGATCATGGAAGACTATCTTCCAGGCATAGTTGACTTGAACGTGCTGTGGCCAAGTGATTTGACAAAATCACTGCACAGTTATTCTATCAATGCAAGGACACGAAGCTGCAAGGCATTCGAGCCAAGCGGTCAAAGACTCGACTTGAATTCTGTTAAAATCGAACTCGAATCGAGCTTGAGTAACTTGTTTGTAGTGATGAGATGATCTCGAAATTTCATTTTTCAAACTCGTCGAGCTACTCGAGTATTTTATATATTTTTTTTAAAAAACATATATTTGTGAAATGACATAAATAAATATATTAGTTGTGAATTTACTGCAAATACCTCCTAACTAAGAATCAAACTCGAGTTCAAGTACTTGAACTCTATAAGTTCACTTAAAAACTCAATCTATTCGAGTCGAATTCGAGTTTAAATGGTTCTTTCACGAGTTGAGTTCAAATTTTTGTATTCCTACTCAATTGAGCTCGAGTTGGAGCTGAAGTAATACACATATCCATCAAGTTCAAATTCGAGTATAGTGCCACTCGAGTATGCTTGAATGAACCCCTAGGGGTGACTTAGGTTGTGTTTGGATTGCATTTTTCGTGATTTTTCCACATGGAAAAATTACTGTAGCGATTTGATGTATGTGAGAGAAAAAGAAAATAGAGAAATGTGATCACGGAAAATAACGTAATTTTTCGACGGAAACCGGCAATTCAAAGAAGACTTCCGTGGTTTCGTGTTTATTTGATTCAAGTATCTATTTCATAGCAAGTGTATATGAATCTAGCTGCGATGCTAGCTGGGACACCTATATTCTATTTGGCGTCTGCCTCTGCTGGCCTGAACGAAAATATTTGAGTAGCAAGCATATTAATTAAATAGAATGGAGTATCAGGGGCCCAGATCGACCCCATTTCTGCACAAAGAGAAACACAAGTACATTACGCTCGTTTGGATAATCTCTATGTCGCCTCTCCGCCGCCAAAGTGGCGAAGCACTAAATTAAAGCTGTAAAGGGCGTCTACATGATCAATCAGCGTAATCCCAAACACTAAACAGCTCATTCCTGATTCTTCTATTTTGACCTAGCTGTCCATTATCCAAATTAATAATTATTAAGTAGTACTCTCTTAGTTTCTCCGCCGGACCCGGCAGAGGAAGTAAGTTTTAACTTTTAAGTGGCCTGAATAAATACTTTATGAAGTTTCTACTTTCTCGCTAGCTATGAGAGTGTAAATATAGGGGCTACACTTTGACCCTTTTGGCATGGCATTGGCATTGGCTGGCGGTCTCTCTCGCGCCGGAATTCCTCTAGGACGGTTCTGGTCTCGCCCTCGCACCAGTTACTGTCCCGACAAGTACGCCGCAAAGATGCTAATGTCCGTTTAGTGGAACTTTCTACTTCTCTGATTTCATCCAGATATATTTGCCTGCTCCTGCACTCTACACTGCAAAATCCTTGATCCCCTCTGCATGAAAGACGTACGCAACCGACATATCAGTCAATTATAGGTCATCAGAATTCAAGAAACCATCGTATTATTTGTAGTTCGAGCACACGATTTGTCCAACCCATACTCCCCCCCCCCCCCCCACACAAACAAAAGGCCTGATAAAATCTCAATTATTTGCGGTTCGTCTGGTTCAATGTTCTTACCTGTACATGTAGACATCTTTATCAAGACGTAGAGTCTTGTTGCACAGGAAGCAGGAGCCGAGATAGCAGTAAGAAGAATGAGGAGAAAGGGTGGTAGGGGATGAGTGGGAAGATTGGTTAGCAGCAGTCATGCGAAAAATGGGTTTAATAAGTCTGAGGCCAGAGTTGAGGACAACATTGGAATGATCGGTGAGCAAAGTGGTATCAGCAGCTGTTAGTATCCTCAAGCCAACGGCGGTTGACGAGAGTTGGTGGTTGTGGGAGCTGATCAGTGACGATCTTTTCTTGTTTATCTTGCGATCATGATCAGTGTTCTTTTGATTTAGTTTCAGAGGGCTCCAAATTGAGACCTTGGAAAGCATCCTCAAGAAGAGGGCTGAAAGTAGAAAGTAGAGAGAGAGAGACAGATAGAGATTGGACACGGAAGAAATGGAGACGAAGGGAATGAAGCCCTCAACCACAACAGCCGTATTAATTTAATTTAACTTCAACGTGGAAATGGGACTCGTCAGTCATCATCATCAATGGACAAAATAACCTGCTGCGGTCCCTTAACTTGAGATGCACGTGCTTTATTCCTCTTTTTTAATCATTTACCTGTGATCTTTACCGCGTTTTAACTTCGACGAGGACGAAAAAGTGGCAATCCTAGCCGTGAAACTTTTCCTGTGGGTCGGGTCGTCCCACAAAGTCTAATGAAAACGTGAAAATTGTGCTTATTCGTGGCTCACCGTCTCATCTTTATTGCTTTATTAATAGTGTACTAGTTTATTGTCTTTTTATAAGTGGACAGCAGTTGATTAATTTACTCAAAAAAAAAAAAGCAGTTAATTAATCGATCGATCGAGAGAATTTATATGGGATGAAATCTGTACATATTGTGGTGACACGTACAAAACTCTGTATATCGTTATTTGTTTTGCTTAAAATGTTAAATACTCTTGAAGGTGTCTAAAATTCAAGAATAGAAATACCTAAAATATAGAAATAAAGAGAAGCAATAACGATGGATTTAATGATTTTGGTGCTAAGAGTGGTTTCAAACTCATATCTTCCCAGATTTTAAGTTGCCTTTTACATGATTTCTTGCTTATAAGAAAATGTATCTTATAATTACATCTCCAAACTGAGGTAAAACTAGTAGTGGGTCGTTCTTCCCACGGAGCAGAAGCCAATTTAAACAGTATCCAAAATCAATGCCCCTTCAATGCCAAAAATGTTAATAGTAGCAGCAGCAGCAGTATAGTATACACTCTGTAAAATATATGCTGAAAACTCACTGACTCTGGCTCAATTCAAAGAATGGTTACACCGACAAGTCAACGCCTGCAACAAGAGGACCAGTGGCTAAGGAGGTGGCCGTCTCAGAGCCACCCGTCACCCTCCCTTTACGTATGCGGCGGCATTCCCACCTCTACTTCAAGGAAATATCAAGGATTAAATTTTTATCCACCGACGATATAGTACGTAGAGCTTTTACAGTAGTACTAAGAGTAGAAGAGATAAATGAAAAAGAAGCGAAATTCAAAATTCAAAATTAAAATTAGATTACCTGATATGTATTTAATTCTGTTAATGTAGTAAAAAATTTTCGCTGACAGTGCATGAAAAATTAACTCGAATGTTAATGCTCCAACATACGCGCTTTTCAGTGAATCCCAAGAAAGCAGATGAACCATTTTAACACATCTTCAATTATTAGAGAACTTATAGTGTTGAGTTCTTGAGTTCAAATCCCTTGCATGCCAGTTGTGGCCGAAGCACACAAGTAGCTTTCATTCGAACGAATCATGGCCAAGGTGCACGATAGTAGACGTATATAATTTTAGTGGAACTCAGTAATCAAATGGTGATGGTGATCATTAGTATAACCAACATTTTGAATGTACGAAAGGTCTGGCACGAAGTTGGGCGTTTGATACAATGCTCAGTGGATGAATTGCTGCAAATTAATCCAACAGTTCATTGCATTATATGCACCAACTAAAGAATTTAATAAATGAATGAATTCCTTACCAATAAATAAACTTACAAGAAAAAAGTACTAGTAATTAAAAACAATTGATGTCATGACTAAAAGCCTTTGTCCAAAAAATTTTACAAGGGAAAACGAAAACAAGAGGTTATCCTAATTAAGATGAAGAAAAACTGCTGAAGTAGTTCCTCATTTCTTCTTATCATAAAATTCGCCTCAAAGGAGATGAATATCCCACCTGTACAATTACTGGAATATGAGGGTGATTGCTGATGCAACGCAGGCGACGCAAGCAAGTGAAGTGTAATCTGGACCGAAGGCATATGGAGAGACTTTGTCAGGGGAAAGTTAGCTCCGAATAAGTATTGCAAGTTCAGCATCGATCTGACTTGTGTAAATTAACGCATTACTTTGCTTTATTTTTTGTCTTATCGTGCCTCAAATGTCTTAGCCTTATCTTCGTCTTCCTGATCGATCTGGACCCTCTGGCTCTTCGCATCTGATTCCCACACCAGTATCAATTAATTAATTGACAATAAGTGAATAAAATGGCAGAATAATATTGGATGAAACTAATCCTTTCGAGAAACACTCCGGAGGAGGTTTGATACCTGATTTTTTAAGTTGTTGTATTGGTGAGGAAATTTTGATAAAACAAAATTTTGATTTTCCATTCAGAGAGCATCTACGGCGTGTTGATTTTTCTTCTTGTGTATTAGTTCATAGATATCCTTTAACATATGATTATTCAACTCCAAATTGACTGACTTTGTATGATTATTCTGCATGCGTTGGAGGGCATTGGTCATAAAATCTGCTGGACGTTGGAAGACCAGTTCTACTCGTGATTCACGTATTTTCTTTTCTCTTGAAATTGATCCCCTTATTCCTTTCTTTTTGGAAAGTTCCACCGGATAATCGAATATGATACCTTTCAAATTTAAATATATAACGTCAAAACGTGACTAGTTAACCTTCCAACAGTACTAATAAATAATTGACTAAAACAAGAAATTTAAACCTTTCGATAAGGATTCGGAGTCCTCTACAAGTCAAAATTCTAAATAATAACGAACTCCTTATATATATGTATATATATCCGATTCATCTTTCAAATCTTCGCCGTTCCAACTTCAAATAAACACACACACACACACACAAAAGCTTTGTTCCTCTATCGCAGGTGTTGAATCATGTCTGTAGTACTTCGCTCCAACGGTGCCGTTCTCTTTCTCAGGTTAGCCTTGGTTTTTCATGCATGCAACCCCTATTTTTTATCTTTTATCCTTTTTTTTTTGTTCTTTTAATTTGTTAACCTTCCGTCAGTCCTCTTTCCTTTATTTTGATACTTTCTTTTCTTCCTTATTCTCTATAATTCTTATTTTCCTCGGTATCTCACGTTATTTTAGTATTTGCTACTTACAAGTAACATGCATGCTCTCTCTCTCTCTCCATTATGGATATCACAGTATTATATATTGCAACGATGAAATTTTGATTTTGTGGGTTCCTTTTATATATATATATATATATATCTGCTCCCTTTGATACTTTTTAACTTGTATGCTCTGCAGGAGAGCGTACACTGTTGCGGTAGAGAATGTGAAAGCACAGCCAGCCGCTTCAGTGATGAGGAAGGTGGCGGAGCCAAGCACAAGCAATATTGATGTGGGGAAAGAACTAGTAGTTCAAGGGGCGAAGAGGGAGGTTTTCTGGATGAAAGATCCAAAGACTGGAAATTGGATTCCAGAGAATCACTTCAATGAGGTTGATGCTGCGGAGCTCCGAGAGAAATTTCTGTCCAAGGCGCCAAAACCCTAAAGATTGTAGTACGTAGAGGAATTGCAAGTTCATACAACCACTACTATCTGTCGAAATATCTTTCTTATTTGCTTTTGTTTCTGTCAGGTATATCGGTTCTCCTTTAAGAATTAATAATGAAAACATACGTTTCAGACGAATGAATTAGGGATTTATTCGTGGCTTCATGTTTTTTACATATATATATACACTCCACCATGCAAAGGGATAGGGATAGGGATCCCTTGTTGTTCTCACCCATTTTTGGGACGAGGTTTGCGTGTAATCATCAAGACTAGAAACATGTGCATACCTCAATTGTGGTCACCTTTTAAAGTTGACTCGTTCTATCTCAAATATTTGAATTGCAATTTCAATTGCTTGCACAGCACCTAACCCTGGCAATAGGGTCTAATGGCCGGAGAGTTTTGACACGTTCCAAAACCGGATTAAAAATATAGTCCTAATCGAGTTTGGGTTTGGCTCATTCGACTTTGTACAATGAAAGTTCAAGCTCACCTCTTTATGTTTGTTGGGTTCCAAGCTTTGTAACGGGCTGACCCATTTTAAACCAGGCAGAATCGCAGGGGTACTGCCTCTATTAGGCACGCAAGACGCTCCATTGCACATATTTTCAATTCAACCGACTGCACTTTCTTTTTAGTAAATTCGGGACCAACTAAACCAAATCCAGTTTAGTTGTTGTTATCACCTGCATCGACCATTATTAGTAGCAGTGCATTTAACTTGAGAGCCAATCCCATACCGAAGAAATTACTGCCAGAGATCATATTCACGTCATCTGGCAGTTCCGAAGCTTCAGCGGTAGTGTACTAATCTAAAAAGTAGGCGGTCCAGGATAAACATCGCAGCTTCTATTTATCTATACCATGGGCATGCTTTTTCCGGACTTGCTTGGCCATGAATATGATGAACGTGAGAACTAATCGGTCAGCCCTTCTTGTCTACAAAGCTCACAGTGCACCCGGACCCAACAAGTAATAACGTCATGACCAAGCCCTTACGGCATGCCATAATGTAAATAAAATCTGTAAAACTGCTCGTGTGCGCAAGCTGAACGATGCTTCAACCAGTTACCAAAGTGTGAAAGATACGTGGAACACAAGATTAACATAAACATTGTGCATTGAACAGAATAGGACGAACCTTTTTGTTGGCTCTGAAATTCTATATCCCAGGAGTTCCAAATCATGAAAATAACCATGTCCCTGCGGCATATACCACCTCGTATCCCACAAAAACCATTCGAGCAACCCACATTTGGTACAAAACTCAGCCAAAATGCCCATGCCCATTAAGAGCATTCATGAGTTTCATGGAAAAGAAAGAGAAACGAACCAAATCCACAAGTGTAATACCTTAACAAAAATATCCCAAAACATGGCTACAAGTATAGTTGGATGAGTTCATCACTCACTACAGAGGGTGTTAAGACACCCAAATCAGTGAAAAGTAAGGTCAGATACTGAGGTGGCGTATAGTCTCGGGCAGATGTTTCGACTTCAACCTTGGAAGGTATGGGTACTCCAAAATCAATAGGACGTAAAGCAGGAACCATGTCCTTTTGATTGAGCGGATAAAGACGAGCAAACTGCAATAATAGAGATCAACAAAACCTAATTGCTTTAGCTATAAACTGCAACAAATAATTGAAATTGAAAATTTTCATTCATCAATCAGAAGCTTGCAAAAACACGGAGTGAGTGTACCCAAAGACAGAGCAGTAACTCAATGTCATGTTCATATGAGCTCGATTTCAAGTCAAACTTTAGGGCCCGGGGGGGGGGGGGAAGGATTTTTATGTACCTTGTAGCTTTCAGCAGCAACATAAACTGGTTTACTCATGCTCTTAGCAACCAATGCAATTTGGTATGTCCCCATCATGTTAATTATTCCTCCACTCTCAACAACTCCATCTGCTCCAACAAAAACCATGTCAACTTCATCCATGCTATATGCCACAGCAGAGTCTATCAATAGCTTCACGGGAACGTCAAGCTTGGCTAGCTCATTGGACAATCGCAACCCAGTTCTATCTGGCCTTCCCTCTGCATATCAGAGAATACTAACTTACAAAGCTTTACTTGCTTGAAATTAAGCTTAGTATCACATCAAAGGAAAAAAAAACCAGGAATTGATCAGCATCAACTACAAAGATGAAGCCAAATGTTTGCAAACCTTAGTATCTTCAATCTACAGTATGCAAAAATGATGCTGATACTCTGTGAAGAAAAATACATGATCTAGTTTTGATGCATTTATCAATTGGAGATCGCCTTTACACAATCATGCATCATCTCGATGCCCTTCTGTGCACCATGAAAAGAAAGATGTAGGAAATGCTAATCAGTGAAGGCAGATTTGGTCCTACAGGTAACAGGTAACCGTAACCTAGAAGCAAGATGTACGGATGCGTACCTGTGCAGAAAATGCGAAACAGTTTCCTGTTTTGTGCAGCCGTTCTCAAGACTTCCAACACCACGCGGGAAAAGCCATGCACCAATATAGTACAACCATCAAAAATGAAATCCTGACTAAGCATCGCAATTATTCTCCTAGCCTGTATGATGAGCTTAATTAACAACTCTTTCCGCATGAAATGCAAAAATTACATAGTCAATAGTGAAGTGAAGGAAGATTGAATGACTAATATAAAATCAATAATTAGCTCAAGCACCTTGTAAGAAATCTCTCCAAACTTCTCTGCACGTTCAAGAAGGCGAGACTTAGCTGAATTGAAATCCTCATACTCCAGAGCTGAAGTTCTTGTCACATACCGCATGAACAGATCACAGCCAGCTGTCAGAGATATCGAGGTTGTATCCCATGACTGGAGGAAAGAGACAACGGTTCGTAGAACATTAGATTTTTCTCATCGATTGTTTTAGTCTTTCATTTCTATGGTTGACAGAAATCAGGGGGAAAAAAAAGGTACATATCTCATTTCCTTAATGCATGGCTCTCCTCTCCTTCCAACTACCTTGTCACGTTTAGGCAATTCCATTTTGCACAAACAACTAAAACTAGAGCAATCTATCACGTTACTTCCAAACTTCGCCAGACTTATAACACAAGGAGCGAAGTTCAATTGGTAGCAAAAGCAAGAAATCCAACTCGAGAAACAGACGAAGTTAAAGAAATGCTCCAATGAGTAGCTCAAGCCAACCTCATTAGATAAACCAGGCCCGGTCATGGCCATGCTGATAAAGAACAGGTTTGATAGCCGGTAGAATTAAAAACAAACGTCCAGTAAAATCTCAGGCTCAAGCTTATTACTGAGTTTCACCGGGGTAAGGTAAGAAGAAAGCAGCATTACAATCGACAATCGTCAAACAAAATTGCAGAAAGAATTTTTTATCAAACCTGAATACGAGCCACCCCAACCCCACTCCTCCTCGTCAACTTTAATTCAAGCAAAATGGAAGTAAACAATTCCAACAAAGAGAGTAAAAATGAGTTACTTTGAGGGAATCAGAGGCTTTCTTGAGCTCAATTTCCAGCTCCATCATAGTATTCGCCTCGCTGGACCGAATAACGGACGCCAAAGCCCTAATGGCCGCCACAGCCTCAGCCAATTCAGGTTGTTTCCGCCAATTATTGAACTCATCAATCACGCTAAAGGCCTTGGGCGACTCGCCCGACTTCAAAGACAAAGAGTCGTCAGAAACGGCTTCGTCGGCTTGGCGGCCAACGGCAGCTTGAGCTTGTGCGAGCCAGTCGCTGGAAACGACGCCGTGATGAGCCGCTCGCGTCTGATAATAAGCAGAAATTTTAGGGTTTTGCTGTGGGGTTTCTGCCATAGACGGCGAGGGGGCAGTTGGAGAGAGGAGGCGGCTCTCAGGCTGGGCTACGCCGTCGTTTTGTTGTTGGTCGAGAATGAAAGAAGCGGATCGATACCACATTTATGAGATGCGAGCACTCTATTTTCCTTTTATTGTAAATCAGTCCACCGCTTTTTTTGCCCTTTCCTTTTTTGTTTCGGCCGTGTGTAATTTAAGAGGGAATAGAATCGAATGAGAACGAAAGCTTAAAGTGCGAAGATCGCCGGTGCGGCTGTGGATGATTTTTCCGGTGATTAAAGCCTTACAAAGACGGGAGGTCGAATATTTTCTAAATCGAAATTGTACCACCACACTACTAATCTCGCTCGATTAGGCGTTAATCAGTGATTGGGATTCCACTTTGGACTAGGGTGGACCCTGGGAGTCGGACATTGATTTGAAAAATGCGCTTTTTATATATATATTTTTAAAGTTATATTGACAGACGTTTTTTTGTTTTTCGGACCCCCCCAAAAAAAAAAATTGTTCCAAATGCTTTTCGAGCCGGTGGGTCCATAGAATGGACTAGAGAAAAGCGATCATATCTTTGAAATAACCGATCGAACCAATTTAATTTGGATTTTAATTTCTAAAAAAATCAATTTATATTAAAACTCGAATATTTTAGCTTCTCACAACACTATGTGTATATGAAAGTGTACCAACTATACCACAGGAGTATGAAATGATTGAGCGAGACAGAGAGTTTGTCTAACAAGTACATTCACACGTATATCCCACTTAGCAGCAGGTCCCCCCTGTAGGTACATTTGTCCCACATCGGGGTTGGGGTTGGGTTTGGGTTGGGATATAAGTCCCTGGGATTGCCTCAAGAGTTGCCGGCTTTTGAGGTTAATTCTGGGATTAGGTTTATAAAACAACAAAAGTCTGATTCAGGCTGTTGAAAAAAAAGTACATTCACACGTAATTTTTTTTAATTGTTTATTTTTTTTGGTAGGTAAAAAATTTAAAATTTAAAATCTCATACTTATAATTTCTTTCATTTTACCGCCCAATCCAACCCTTCCCTTCACTAACTAGGTTTAGATCTTAATTTTGTGAAAAAATAGAATTAAATCGTGAAAGTGTTTAAATGTAAGGCAAGCAATTAAACTGTGCATTCAAGTAATAAATAAAATATAGAGATAATTTCAAAAAATTCCCTTGAGGTTTTTTCTAATCACACCTAACACCTCTTAAGTTTCTAAAATCACACTTAACGCCCTTAAAATGACAACTTTTGTAACATGTCAGCCTTTTTATGTACAAATAATATTAAAAAATATATCTAGTAGAGGGACAATGGTATTCTTCCAATTT